GTGTGTCAGTGTGTGTGTGTTTATGTGGTGTGGTGGCGAGCTGCGGCCCGCCGGCCAAACCTCCTGCTGGCCCAGCTGCCCAGCTACCACCCGCCAGCAGCCAAGCGCCCGCAACCCCTTGCCCCGCCCAGCTCGCCGACGCGCTCCGCCGCCGCTGCTGCGCCCCGCCCCGCCCTGCCCGCAGCTGCGCCTTTGGCCACACCTGCAAGTTCCACCACCCCGAGCTGCCCCCCGGGGGCCCCACCGCGGTGCCGGCCATGTACGCCATGCAGTACCATGTGCAGTACCAGCAGACCGCCTCCTCCCCCATGCTCACCTCCCTGCTGGGGCTGAAGCCCGGCCACGGCGGCGCCTCCCCCATGTCAGCCTCCCCCAGCGGCCCTGGTCCGGTCCCGGGATACTACATGGCGGCGCCGCCGTACCCAGGTCAGCCGCCACACGGGCACCCGCTGAGCTGGCCCCCCCAGCCCGGCCTACCCCACCGCTACTTGACTGTGCTGCCAGCCGGCCCCCCCCACCCCGGCCCCCAGTGACACACCATCCAAGGTGGTGACGCCACACTGCCCACACACCCGACCAGCCGCGCCGCGTGCGTGTGCTGCGTGTGCTGTCCCCGTCAGCGCCAGCTGTGCCTCTGGTGTGTGCCGGCTTCACCCAGCCCGAGTCCCGCTGCCGCTGCCGCCACACCGACCGCTGCCCTGCCGTCTCCTCTGCTGCAGGGGGGCCGCATGCCTTCCCCGGCCGGCCGCCAGCGATGCACCCAGTCTTCTCAACATCGCCGGCAGGCATGCCAGGCGCGCAGATGCTCCGCGGCCCCACGCAGCGGCCCCAATCTGGAGGCAGCAAGACGGGCCCAGCCATGGCGGCAGCAGCAGCGGCAGCAGGCAGCATGGGACCCGTGCCAGTGCCGGTGCCCCTGGCAGCAGCGCAGCGCCCAGATTCCGCGCGCGCCGCAGCCAGCGAGGCGGCGGCTGCCAGCCCGGCGCCAGCGTTTGCCGTAGCGTCCCCCAGCCCGCCTCCTGCTGCGGCTGCAGCCCTGGCTCCATCTGCCACTAGCGCAGCGGCCTCCTCTGAAGGGGCTGCATCTGCAGCAGAGCCGGGCACCGTGCCGCCGCCACTCATGGTGTTCAATAGTCAGAAGCAGCAGGCGCAACGATTGGCGTCCGCATTAGATCAGCTGGAGCTGGCCCCGGCTGGTGTCGAGCAGCCACCCCCACAGCAGGCCGCCGCGGCT